TGCGGCCGCCGCACGGCCAGCATCCCGATGCTGCATCCATATTTAAAGTTGCACTTAAAGTATCGTTGTCGACACATGGCTAGGCCCAGCCCAGTCCAGCCCAGCTCAGCCCAGGCAATCGGCAATCGGCAATCCTTAACAGGCATCAGGACAAATCCGGCGGCTTGTTAACGTCGAGTTATTTTAGCCAGTCGCTCACACTACCGCAGCTTAACATCCTTTCGCTTATCTACAGCTGCTCTCCCTCTCTCACACACTCTCTGCGTATCTGCCTCTGTCTAGTTTTAGGGTATTACAAAGTTTTCACATTTCTCGTTCAACTCCATAGAGTGCAGGTTGCTCTTTATTGCGTTAACAATTTTCGCTTTCACAAAAGTCTTTCGACGATTCCTAAAAATAAAGCAGCAGCTGAAATGGCACTTACACTCACACACACACACACACACACGCAGATGCATCTAGGGACTATCGGCAACTGCCACGCCTTACGCAGACGGCAGCTTTTTCCCTGAGCTCTGTAATTGATTTATGTGCGCGAACGTGCGTGGAACAGCTGCTTACAATTTACACTCTCACTCGCAATCAAAAAAAAAAAAGAAAGAAACTAAGAACAAAACCGAATCGTAAGATAGCGACAGCGACCACAACTTAAAGGTGTCCCTGTCCATTTCGCACCTTTCGCTTGGGCCAAGAACAAAACATCTATTAAGTTCTCAGACCATAAATCACTGAATGGCCTACATGGTATATGTGTTTCAAAACTTACCTTATGTGTAGCACAATAATAGCAATTCCTTATTGAAATGGAACCCAAAATTAAATAGCAAGAGTACTACCAAAAAAAAAAAAAAAAAACCCCTTTTCTGTCATGAAACCCACAAAGGTTTTCATTTGAGTTTTGTACTAATTATAATAAAAATAAATTATATGTGTGTGTGAAATTGAGTATTAGATTGAACTGAGAGGCAGTCCTGAAATTTGGCATCGATTTACTCAAGCAATTATCATGAACTTTTTACCCTGAACCCATGGGGAAATCAGAGTATAATGGTTTTCTTTAAATGTGTGTAACATGCACAAGAAGCCCTAGCAGGACAACAAAAAATCTTGGACATATAAATAGATATAGAAAGGATGAACTGAGTCTATTTAGCCGCTTCCATCCGTCGGTCTATTCGTATCTTTGAGCGTGTCAATCTCGGAATCTATAGAAGCTGGATACAGAGAACGAGTTTAACTAATTCCATTTGTCTTTGAATCAATCCATTATCAATTCAACGATCAGCGATCGCCCTCAGTTAAGATTTCCACGAATTCGCTCGAGTAGTGCTGGCAAGTCTGACAATGCCGACTATTGTTAATAAATATGCTATATGACTGTGAAAGAGTAAGCTCGAACATTTGTATGTGAGCAGGCGAGGTACTATGTAGGGTGTATTAGGGTAGAGTAGGGTAGAGTAGGATATTAGGGTACAAGCATAAATAAGATATGGTGCTTGCCAAATCTTCTTAGCAGATTCAACTGAGAGCTTTGCATTATGAATATGCTCTGCTTGTATGTAGTCAACCGTAAGTGTCTACCATGAATGGAAATTGATTTTCGAAGCGTTTTGTACAGCTGCAGTTTGTTCTTAATTTGGGTCAATTTGGAATTTTGTCGAGTAGCCAGCTTCATTTAGTAGAGCCGCTGCTTTAATTGTTCCCATTTCGTTTTGGAATGCATGCACCATGTTAAGCTTCTGTCTGGAATGAAATTTCCATTAATGTGGATTTGTGGCCAGTTTTCGTGTCTGAGTGCAAATCTCAGARAGTGCTGACGCCTCACTGTTGATGAATCGATTGAGTCAGGCAGCTATATATATA